AATAACTGTTATTGTAAATTGTATTTTGGTGTGTATATTAAAACACATTTGTGTTAAGAAAGAAAACTGTGTGTATCGATCTTATTGGCAAATATCATAAACTGACTATACATCGGCTTTTTACTTAACTGCTAAATCCAAAGTACAATTTAACTACTGAAATTAAAGTATCATTTAACTCAATTTCAGGCCATTCGAAATTATAATAAGTAACAAAAGTAACATGAGTTGTACCTGACAAGCATCTCTGCCTCCAAATTCGTAGCCAGCACACATCATCTCCTCGTGGATCTGGATGTGGATTCCTTGTAGACCGTGCCACATTTCGCACACACGGTTGTTAATAACAGGAACAGGCACGTGTTGCAAAACTTTCGGACGAAGTTTCGACCCTGGGAGAAACAAGATGGTGCCACTTTATTAGTTCCCTACAAGTTAAGGCTTATGTGTGTATGAAAATATAATTAAATCTATTGGTCCTCCTATCCATAGTTCACAGACATTTTTATTAATAGTTATATAATGGCTTTACAATGAACATAACAAAACCTATTAAAAACAAGTTTGCTTAGTATAATACTAAAACACATACGAAAGTCAATCTATACAACTCGTTATCATATGACATTTAACTTTAACAAATACGGAGGGGAGTCCATTACATTTTTTTAAAGGTAATCACAACCTCCATTTTAAAACCAATACTTAAACGTTTATAATATACAGGGTGGAGCAAAAATGATTATACCGTTGTTTCATTTAATATTTAGAACGTAGTTTACTTCCTAACTTTTACTCTGAGATAAACAATAATTACATTGGATTAAATTGTATTTGCAATATCTTCTTTAGTGCCAACCATGTAATACCAACTATATAGTAACTTTTACTCCACCTATCCTCTTAGCTTCTATAAACTTAGCTCTGTATTAATACAAATTATAATGTAGTATTGGAGTCCCATCTACTCTAGGATCTTTTTTTTAATGGAATCTACATTCATAGACATATCTTAGTTAAATTTAAAATTTACTGAAAATAGACTTTTTCCAAATGCCACAGGTAATTTCCTTATATTACTTTATTAATTTGTACAGAAGATCCTATGCTGCCATATATGGATACATTAGTGAGCTTGTATTTATATATACGTGTATTAGACAACTTTCAAACTATGATAAAATTACTCTTCAAATTCTTAAAAATCTCTAAGGGACTAGATTAAGAAAATAATGTTTAAAATGTAATAAGCCTAATACTAATGTATTAGGACATGTAAAAAATATGATAAAACTTACGGATTTATGATGAGTCAAATCCATGTTATACGGATAACGCAGAAAGGGGCCGTTTTATACACAGCCCTAAAAAATCCTACAACAACAACAAAATAGCTACACGAAAAAAAAAATCTTACCTGGTTCAAGTGCCCCCCAGCCTGTAACGTACGCCATCTGGCCAAGAAAGTCAGCATTCTTCTCAGGAAGGCAAATAGGACGGATGTTAGCTCTATACTGCACTGGCCGGTCTAGGATTAATACGGCTACATCGAACCTGTCCGCCTGAGGGGTGAATCTGAAGTTAGGGTGCAGCCGTACATCAATCACTCCAAACTTCTCATTCGGTAGTCCCTCTACCTTCGAGTTGAGAACATAGTCTCCTAGATTTACTTGGATTTTATAGGGCGCGTGCTGTACTCTGTGAAAATATTGTGTGACGTAAGTACCATGAAACAGAAATTAGTGACATAAGCACCAGAAAAAGAAATCAGTGACTGTAGCTCGATGTAAAATGCAAAACAGTCACAATACCCAATAAACATTCTAATGCTCACCATCGAGCCTTGACGTTCACGAGGGTTGTTTTAATGGTCTTCCCAAGATTATACTATATTAAGAATAAAATACAGACTACAGGACAATCATTATTCCTATAATATTATTTCATTAACATTAGCCAATCAAGTATTTGTTTGATATTAGGTAACATTAATAGGTAACTTTTCTGGTTCGTCTGTTATCTCGATTACTGAGTTCAAGAAAGGTATAGTTTCAAAAGTTCTAGTTATTTAGAAACTGTGTAAGATATTTGAAGTTTGACTTAATAAAACATTAATATGTAATATATTTGATCATTCTTCTCTTCCGTTAGAAACCGGACTTCGATACCCGTGGTGGGCGGAGCACAGATAGGCCTTTGTGTAGCTTTGTGCATAATAACAATCAATCATTCTTCTCTTTCTCAGTACCTTTCTTTTTCTTTCTGTATTAGGCAGTTACATTCCAATTCACTACAATAGAGCATAATAATGATAATAAAAAACATGATGGTAAAATAATTGCTTGAACACATCCAAAAAGTTATTAATACGAGTCTTGCTGAGTACCCTATACAAAAAACTACAGTCATCATCCTAATTATTTGGAAAATTTGGTGCTAATATCCTGTAGCTACAAACATTTACCACAACGATGTGTGGTCTATCGTATTTAGGAGCCTTGTAGCTACAAACATTTACCACAACGATGTGTGGTTTATCGTATTTAGGAACCTTGTAGCTACAAACATTTACCACAACGATGTGTGGTCTATCGTATTTAGGAACCTTGTAGCTACAAACATTTACCACAACGATGTGTGGTCTATCGTATTTAGGAACCAGAGTTAGGAACACCAAGTAATAATTAGAAATTTAACTGTATCCAGTGCGTTCAGTTCTTCAATTTGTATGAACATTTGTTTTTTCACTACAAGAAACCTGTTTATACTAAAATTCATACCCCCCCCCCCCCTAGTGGCACAGCGGCATGTCTGCGGACTTACAATGCTAGAGATCAGGTTTCGATATCTGTGTTGGGCAGAGCAGAGATGGGCCCCCGGCATGGCCAGGTGGTTAGGGCTCTCGACTCGCAATCTGCAGGTCGCG